GCCCACGGCAGCTGGCGCTGGATCGCGTGGCTGGAGTACATGTCAATGGCCTTCTTGACCTCGTCCGCCGTCTACACCGCCATTTGTTAGTCGGAAACGATAGACAATATGGTGGCCAACATGCTGGACTTCGGTGTTTTCGACTTGGTCGCCCGTGAATACAATCAAGTTGGGCTGGACGTGGCCCACGAGCCGGCCGATGAGGTCCGTCATGTTGTACTCGCCGCACGGCATGTGGGGCGGCCCCCGGCATGCATATGAGGCATTGCCCGTGTAGTGCATGTCGGGAATCTGCAGCACGGTGAAGCTGAGCTCGGGCTGCCCCGCGCTGTCCTTGCCGACAACCGCGTTGAGAAGCTTGTTGTTGCTGCTTCCGCACGCCTCGGTGGGGGCGGCGACCGAGGTGGTCGCGACGAGCGCAAGGAGCGAGAGCGATGTCCGCATGGCAAAACAAGATGTTAACTGCCTCTCGACACGGCGTTTGGGTGGTGTGCATCGTAGAGACCCAAGTGGCATCTCGATGTGGTACTTGTTGTGGCGTCGAATCTAGTCCAGAGACAAGACACTGTAGACTCGAGATTCTGGTGTGCACTTTGTTTTCAACCAATCCATCAAGCCGCTGGCGCGAATCGATTGGACCGCGCACCAGTCAGTCTACCACGTATAGCGTGCGTTCACAGTACCTGTAGTAGAAATGTTTAATGGGTTTTAGGGTTTAGGGGTCCATTACTACGGAAATTCATTTTGGCCCGCGTAACCGAGGCTCGCGTCATCCACGGATGAACGACGCTGCAACAGGCGAGCGAGATGTGGCGTTGAATCTTGCGCGTTGTCAAAGATCCTGGACCGTCCATGAAGCGTGTATGCAACGATTAGCTCACCGACAGGCGATGGTGTCGTGCTATGTGGCGTCATCATGGGACGTAGGCTTTTCTGTCCATAGTGAAGGAAACGTCGTTTTGGGCTAAGTTTGTAAAACGGTTGGCGGACCGCACCCAAGCGATCAAGCAAACCACAACATATGTTGCGCGAGATTCGATCTGTCGTTCATAATCTTTGATGCGGTCGCTTACCCCAACCCTTTGTGCTCGGCAATACAATAAGCAGCATCCCGCACGAGGAAGACTCTGCAGATACCCTTCTAGTCCTTAGATCTTTGGTAAAGGCTTCCAGCTCGAGATGCTGCGTCGACGCACACGGTTTTCATCTGAAACATAGATGGACGCTTGCTAGACGAGACTAGAGGTACGGTCGCCGTCCATCAGCTCTCAGATCGTAGTGACGAGTGCCATCAGAGCTTGCGTGCACTACATGATAGTATGGTTGTTCGCCGGGCTGGCTTCGTAACAAAGCTTCGTTTGCTCAAGTCTCGACGGAGGTGGTCAAGTGAGCTAGTTCACGCTGCCTGCTGCTTGGGTGCCAAATGAGGTCAGCGACCAGGCTCTGCGTCTCATCTAAGTGGGAGCCACAGTGACGAGCTCATAACCGTGCCAGTACGGAGAGGTGGTCGATCACCAGCCAAGGACGGCAGCACACGCAAATACGTGGCGGTATACTGTGGTGGATAATGTCGTAAAATGAACTACAAAGCTATTTAAGATTAGTTGGACAGAAGATTGAGCGTCCTGCAACGGCAGTCTTCTGCTACTCGTCGTCGCTGCTCTCGTCGTCATCGTCGCTGTCGCCCAAGAGACTCATGAGCTTCATGGCCATGTCGGCGGCACGCGCACGGCGCTCGTCGTCCGTGAGGCGCTGCAAGTTAACGTCTTCGCGGATGCTGAGCACCTCCTGCAAGAGCGCTTCAAAGCCCTCGTCCTGTTCGAGTAGCGACGGCGTCGAGGCGGGCGTCGACTGCGGCGTCTTGGGCGTCTTTGGTGCAGCTGCAGGCGTCGGCGTCGACTCGGTCGTCGGGTTGCGCACACCGTCGCGCATCTCCATCGACGTCCACATGTTGCACTGGAGCGCTTCGACGAGGCGATCGACGCCAGAGGTTTCGCTTCCGGTGGCCGCGCTCGAGGCGTCGCGACTGACAGCGATGTGCTCAAAGCCATGTTCCAAGCAGCAGTCGTTCATGTTTTCGAGCACCATGCTGGGCGACGCATGGTTGGCGACGGCGACCAGCACCTCGAGGTCATGCTCTCGCGACGCAATGGCCTCCATGACCGACTGCACATGGCTCCACGAAGCCTTCTGCGTCGCATCCCACACGAGCAGCAGACCTTCGTACGGCGAAAGGTCGTCCGGTACGGCGTGCGCCGCTTCGGGCACATGGAACGCGAGCGGCGCCGAGTAGTACTTGGTCACGAGCGTATGCGCAAGCACGGCGTGCCCGTCGAGCTTCGCCCACTCGGCAGCGTCCTGCGCTCCGGCGGCGGCGACGACAGCCTCGACGAGCTGCTTCTTGCCCACGTGGTCGCTGCCAAGGACGAGGACGCGGCTCATGCTGGTCGAAATCTGGAAGCTGCTGGCCGGGCGATTCCTCCGATTTTTTATATGCACGTGTGTTTGACATTTTCATTTCTCACGGTGTTTTCTGTGGTGAATTGGTGAAGTGCTTACAACACCAAGCGTCAGGCTGGACAGTCGAGGTCGTGCTGTCGACCCATCAACGTTAGGCAAAAATCGTGTCGTGGCGTGTCGCCACGATGCAAGCTCGTTGCCTGGAGCGAAGGACTGGGAGGTACAGTCCAATTGCAGGAGGACTCTCCAAAACCTCTCAAAGTGAATTTACCACCGACATGTGATATCCGGATCCGCGATATCCGGACTTTGCGATGCGATCCGCTGTGTCCTGGACAGGCGGGAAGGACTGCGCGATGGCGCTGTACGAGGCCAAGGCCGCCGGCCACGACATCGCGCTCCTCGTGACCTTTGCGCCTGAGAACCCGAGCTTCCGCGCGCACCCGATCCCGCTCATGGAAGCGCAGGCGGCGGCCATCGGGCTGCCCCATCTCTTCCTCACGATCCGCCCGCCCGACTACAATGGCAGCTACGAGGCTGCACTGCGACACCTGCAGAACGACCATGGCATCGCGTGCCTCATCACGGGCGACATTGACCTCATTGGCGCCAGCACGAGCAACTTTATGAACGAACGGTGCGCGGGCGTGGGCATGGCGATCTTCACGCCGCTCTGGCAGCGGCCGCGGGAAGCGCTCATACAGCTCGTGCTCGAGCGCGACTTTCACGTCGTCTTTTCGTGCGTCAAGGAAGCGTCGTTCAACGACGCTGCCGCGTGGCTCGGGCGTCGCATCACGCGCGACGCACTCGACGACCTGTGCGTCCTCCATGCGTCACACGGCGTCGACGTCTGCGGCGAGAACGGCGAGTACCACACCATGGTGCTCTACGCGCCCTACTTTTCCAGCCGCGTGTTGCTACCAAGCAGTTGGTCGATCGAGTCGAAAGACGGCCTCAGCTGTCTGCGCCTCGAGGCCGCACCGACGCTGCAGACACTCTTGTGAGGCTCGTACTGGACTTTGGTAGAGTAGCCGACGCAGCCTCCTACGCGCAGCAGTAACGATAATGTGTGTTCTATTGGCGTACCTGCATGTGGTCGCTATGGTTGTCGTCTCACTGCATGCACGCACCATCGTCGTCGTGGGTTCGAGCCTCGTGTAGTACCAACAATCAACAACACGCTGCAGAACGCTCGCACCACCGACAGACACCGACAGTCCATTTCTTTAACCCATCGATTGTATCATGACTTGCTGACCACTAAGCTCAGCTTCCTGGCTCGTGAAGCGGCTCCAAGTCTAATCTCTCTACAGAAATGGCTTGGTGTCCGCAAGGGTCTGCTTCTGCTTGATGTCCGCAAGTACAGTAGTACACCTGGGCGACCGCCGTTGTAGGTGTCCACCAACGACAACCCTCTGCAGTGTTAGCTTGCAGTGTTAGTTGCTTGCACTGCGGCGGTCGTGGCTGCCACCGTTCGACATGGTCGCTGTGCAAACTCATATGATGTGACGTGCCGTTGCTCGACGCTGCACGTGACGGTCGGTTGTCGCCACGTTGTACAACGGCACGACCGACATGAGCAATCCCACGTCTGCGTCTACACCGCTAGTCCACAATAGAATTTGCATCATGGCCGCCGTGCTTGCAAGCCGCGACCTCGTCCTGCTCATTGCGTCCTTCCAAGATGGGCTTCCACAGTCGCTTCTTGCCACGCATATGCATCTGCGCCACGTCGACAAGCTCGTTCGCATTGGCTCTATTTGGCTCGGTTGTCGCGCTACGTGCTTGCGGAGCGCGCCTCCTCTTAACGTTTGGGTGTTGCAGCAACTCCATCGTCTTCGGCCCCAAGCGATCACCATCAACGTGATGGACTACGTGGCGGCCACCGGGCAATTCCTCGCACTCCTCTTCCTTCACGCCCGCGGGTATACCTGCTCAGTCTGGGCCATGAACGCGGCGGCCGAGCACGGGCACATTGCGATCGTCCGGTTTCTTCACGACCACCGACACGAAGGCTGTACTGTCCACGCGATGGACGCCGCTGCCAAGCACGGGCACCTTGACGTACTCGAGTTCCTGCACTACCACCGACACGAAGGCTGCACGGCGCTGGCGCTGAACGCGGCGTGCGCCAACGGGCACAAGGACGTCGTCGCCTTCCTTCACACGCACCGATCGGAAGGCGGCACGGCGCAGGCGATGGACGGGGCGGCGGCCCACGGGCACCTCGGTATTGTGCAGCTGCTACACGCCACGCGGCACGAGGGATGCACAGACAGAGCGATCGAGGACGCGGCCATGCACGGCCATTTTGAGGTCGTCCGCTTCCTTCATTGCCACCGAACCGAAGGCAATGTGGCGCGCGCGCTTCGGAATGCCGCGGCGAACGGCCATGACAAGATCGTGGCCTTCTTGCTACCGCTCGTGGCAGCCGTGCCGCCTGATGCCATGGACTTTGCGGCGCGCAATGGCGAGATGGAGACGCTCCGCGTGCTGCACGCGGCCGGCGCGCCGTGCACGAAGCGGGCACTGACGTGGGCGGCGATGGCGGGCCATGGGCACGTGGTTGCTTTTCTAATGCAATACCGAACCGAAGGCGACGCGAACGAAGCGCTCGCGATGGCCACGCGCATGGGCATGGACCAAGTCGCGGCCTTGCTCCGGGTTGCGTCGACGGCGACGAGTCCCGTTGTCAGCACGGACGTTGACTACCTTGGGTTCAGTATGAGCAAAAAGCGGGCACCATCCTGTCCCGCAACAGTTTAAAACGATCCTTCTTGTGGACACATTGTCTTTTGTTCTATGTCCCAGGCGCCAACCATCGCGTTGCGGTTGTCAAGTGAACCGGTGTCCGGTTCGAAACCATCGGAGGCACGAGAGAGCGCCACGTATTCCTACCACCAATCGAGTGTCGGAGGTCTACCATTCATAAGACAATATATTCCAATGACAAGACAACGTGTGCATACACGCTAATGACGCAAATGACCAGCCGTGATTGGCATGTACACCGGTGTACATAAGTCCATCAGACTCACAGTTGCTACAGTAGATACCGGAAGCACCCCGAGGCAAACCGGTCTCCCTGCCTCCGCCATGACGCCTCGTGGCCGCAACACCAAGCCGCCTTGATGGCGCCATGCAGCCGAGCTGCCATGGTCGGTTGATGGCAGAGGCAACAGGGGTAGGGCTACGCGTGGCTTCCCCGGGCTTCGTGGGGTCGCGTCGTATGCGGATATCTTTGTGTCGCATCCGGACTTATGCTGCAGGTGCGCAAGAAGGTCGCGCACGGCCGACGCGGCTTCTCCATGTACGTGCCAGCGCACGAAGCGCCGGACGACGACGCGATGAGCAAGCTCCAGGAGCTGCTGTACCATGCGTCCAAGGTCGTCGTGCTCACGGGCGCGGGCATCTCGACCGAGAGCGGGATCCCCGACTACCGCTCCAAGGGCGTCGGGCTCTACGCGCGCTCCAAGCACAAGCCGATCGAGCACCGCGACTTTATGGGCCACGAAGGCGTACGTTCATTCTCTGATCCTTGCCCCATCCTCACGCACGGGACTAGGTGCGGCAGCGGTACTGGGCGCGCAACTACATGGCCCGCCACCAGTGGCAAGGCGCACAGCCCAATGCCAACCACTTGCTCCTCGCGCAGTGGCAGCACGACTCTCGGTACTCCATCCTCATCCTTATCTTCTCATCCGGATCGCGAGCAGGGGCGACGTGCGCATCGTGACACAGAACGTCGACCGGCTGCATCAAAAGGCCGGCGCGCGCGACGTCATTGAGCTCCATGGCTCGATGGACGAAGTCCGCTGCATGAACCCGGCGTGCGACGCGCCATCGATTGCCCGCGAAGACTTTCAGGCGGTGCTTGATGCGCTCAACCCCGGTTTCGTCGAGAAGGTCCAGGCCGACAATGACACGCTGGCCAATGCGATGCAAGTGCGCCCGGACGCCGACATGTACCTCTCGACCGTACGACGCCATTCGCATGTGCAGGCGTCATGATGGGATGCAGGAGATGGAGCGGCTCTTCCACGTCGCCCACTGCCCGGTCTGTCGCATCGGGTTTTACAAGCCCAACGTCGTGTTTTTTGGCGACTCAGTCGCGCCGGCCATTGTGCGTCAGGTCCTCCTCCAGCGCCTTCGGTGGCCGCCAACGCTGAAGCATCACTGTAGATCTACCATGATGTTGACACGGCCGACGCGATGCTCGTGCTCGGGTCGTCGCTGCATGTGTTTTCAGGGTACCGCTTCCTCCTCCGCGCCAAAGACGCCCATGTGCCGATCGGCATTGTCAACATTGGCCCGACGCGCGGCGACGGCCTCGCCACGGTCAAGGTCAACGCCAAGTGCAGCAGCGTGCTGCGCGACCTCCACCTCGTATAGTCCATAGATCGACGCTGCATATGGCGATGAACCCACGCAGTAAGACACACGGTAGAGGTTGCGTCTTACGTTGGACACGAGTCGTATGTCTCTACTTGATCTCGGGGAAGAGCATCTTGCGGATCGTCGGCTTCTCATCGTAGTTGACTGTCATCAAGCGCCTACATGTAGTTTCGTGACGAGGTGGTCGTCGACAACGAGGCGCGTACGTGTCGAGCGTGTTGTCGCACACGATCTTGCCGTTCTTGGCGACGAGCGTGACGCCGCCGGCGCTGTGCGCGGGCGGCAAAAGCTTTTCGTCTTTGCAGACAGTGAGCTTGGTGTGCATGTCGACGCCAGCTTCCTGCTTCATGATGGCCGCATAGTTGGCCGCGATCTCAGGGACCAACGACTCGATCATGTGCACGTCCTTGCTGCGGACCGCCAGCATGACCTCGGTTTCGTGGAGCTTGATCAAGCCCTAAGGAAATGCAAAGGCTGGATGAGATAACGGTGGGTGTGGTGGGCCTGTCGTTGATAGATACCTGGACCGAGAGGTCGCGAAGCAGCGTGCGGTACGCGCCTTCGTGCTGGGCGACCTCGGCGCAGCGCGCCTTGCCTTCGGTGATGAGCGACTGCAGGAGCTCTTCGCGGGCAATCATCTTCTTGCGGCGCGACGCGCCAATCTCGGCCGAGCGGGCACTACACGCGTGTCAATCGCCATCATCGTATGCGTCGTGCACAGTACATGCGCTTGTTGATCTCGCGTTCCTTTTCCTTGCGCGCGTACTCTTCCTGGATCTTGACCTTGGCGTTGTGCACGAGCATTTGCTTTTCGAGGTTGAAATCATGCTCCGTCTACGAGGTCATTTCGCCGCTGTGGCCATGCGTTCGCCGGCCAGAAGTACCTTGATGCGGATCTCGTTGGCCTTCTCCTGCGCTTCCTGCAAGATGAAGTTCACCATCTGCTTGATTTGGCGGTCCGCATCGCTCGAGTTCATCGTCGTCGTCTTCGCGCGGCAAGCCGGATCCTTGGAAAATGACTAAGACAAGAGGCTGGGAACCCGCCCCATACAAAAACGCTATCGATCGCTTCGCCATAGAAAGCCCAAGTCAATAAACCACTTCAAACGCCTTCGTCCGGATACGTATCCGGAAAACCACCACGCTGGCCGCACGCAACGCCACGCCGCCCTAGCGCGCCTCGCGCCCCACGACGTTATAGCCTGCATGTATGCAGCGAAAGCGACGGCGTTTTTCCTCGGTCTCGACGGCGATGCAGCGTCGTGGGCGCAAGCATGATGCGCCGGTGGCCGCGATGCACAACGAGTTGCGTGTTTTTAAACTGGTATATAGGTGGTGGCCACTCCACCACACTGTGAGCAATGCACGATTTTAATTGTCTTCCAATACAGATATGCATATATTTATTTCCATGGATTTTAATGTGGTGGAAAAGAGCGGTTTCTTGCCGGGGACCGTACAACATGTCGCACCGCTGGCAAGGACGTGAGAACGGCGTGCGACGCCCACTGCACAGAGGTATATGACCATAGCAAAGGCAATGCGATTGTCGTCGGAATTGTGTTTTGTTAGCCGCTGTTGAGTTGGCCCGGGATGTTGTTACCGTTGATTGCACATTTCCAGCAATAAAATGGTCAGCGTTAGATTTTAAACTTGATGTTTGTATTGATGTATTTTTATTATGCAATATACAATGAATAAGAGAACAATGTTTAAAAATGTAGATTCTAGAAATCAATGAGCGTCATACAAAATGCAAGACGATTAATATTGTTCGAAAATTGAGAACCTCGTCGAATTCGATATCAGCTTTCACGGTCGTCATTTTCACCACAGAAAGCAGCGGATCATGAGCAGCATGGACGACGATATCGACAAGCTCCTCGAGCAAGGCCTCCAGACCGCCAAGGTACGGCCATGAGCATGCATCTTACGACGTGAGGTTGACGGTGTGTATGTATAGCCTGCCGATTCGTCGCGGTCTTCGCGCTCCAGCCGCGAGCGCCACTCGTCGCGCCGGGACCGTCGGTCGCGCTCGCGCTCGCGTGAACGTCGGTCGTCGCGCCGGGACCGTGATCGGTCGCGCGACCGCCACAGCAGCCGTCGCTCTCGCCGGTCGCCATCTCGTTCGCGGTCGCGGGACAGTCGTCGCCGGTCGCGCCGGTCGAACTCGCGCTCCAAATCCAAATCCAAGGAGAAGACGCCGGTGGAGCCGCCGCGTGCCCGGAGTACGTCGGCCGAGCGCCTCGAGCGCGCCAAGCAGCGCGAGCTCATGGAGCTGACGCGGGACCACCGTACGATCTTTGTGGGCCAGCTCACGCAGAAGGTCCGGGAGCGCGACCTGGAAAAGTTCTTTAGCTCGCTCGGCAAGCTCGAGCACGTCCTGCTCATCCGCGACAAGTTTACCAACAAGTCCAAGGGGTTTGCATATGTCGAGTTCTCCAACCTAGAAGACATCCCGAAGGTGCTCACGATGAACGGCCAAGTCCCGTCGTTCCAGTCGTTCCCGATCATGATCAAGGCCAGCGAAGCCGAAAAGAACTTTGCCGCCAAGAAGGACGCAGTCTTCTCGTCGGGCCCCACGACCAAGGCGAGTGCGAGTGGCTACTCGGGCGGTGCGTCGGCCTACACGGGCGGCGGCACGGTACGCGATCGACATGTTCTCCTCTTCGTCGGCTCATGCGCCTGTAGGGTCTGTCGCTTGCGGCAGCATCTCGCGTCTACTGCGGTAACCTCCACAACAACATCACGGAAGAAGACTTGAAAGCGGTCTTTAGCGCTTTTGGTGACGTGGTGAATGTCATCATCAACCGCGATGACATGGGGCGTTCCAAGGGCTTTAGCTTTATCCAGTTTTCTTCGCCCGAGGAAGCCAACCTCGCGCTCACCAAGGCCAACGGCCTGGAGCTCGCGGGCAACTTTATCAAGGTCGGGCCGGTCAAAGAAGGCGAAGGCGTCGGGAGCAGCGGCGGCCACACCCACTCGTACCAAAGCCACCGTGACGCGCCGCCGTCGGCCTTCAACAACAAGAACTATGGCGGCAGCAACTGGAAGCTCGAGGACGAAGAAGGCACGGGCGGCATGGCGCTCAACTCGGTCTCGCGCTCGCAGCTCATGGCCAAGCTTGCCGGCGGCGCCGGGCTCATGCCGCCGCCCGCGTCGGCGAGCGCGATGCCGTCGCACCAGCTGCCGGTCGCGCCGTCGGTGGTCAACGCCCAGAACCAGCGCGCGGCGGCGTCGGCGGCGGCCGACATTGAAGGCATCGACTCGATGTGCTTTGTCGTACGCAACATGTTTGAGCTCCAGAAGGAAAAGCGGGCGGGCAACCCGGATTGGCACACGGAGATCCAGCAAGACGTCGAAGACGAGTGCTCCCGCTACGGCAAGGTGCTGCACAGCTACGTCGAGAAGGCGAAAGAAGGCGGCCTCGTGTACATTTGCTTTGCGACCGTCTCGGCGTCGCGCGAGGCCGCGCACTGCCTCCACGGCCGCTGGTTCAACTGCCGCCAGATTAGTGTTAGATTCATGCCGCCCCAAGAGTACGCGGGCATGTTCCCGGAAGCGCGCGCGATGATTGCGGCCCACAAGCACTAATGGCTGCTGCCTGTTTGCACACCAAGCGTAAAGAGAAATAAAAACGATGACGAGCATTAGACCTCGACCGCGTCGTTGCCGAGCGTGCTCACAGCGATCGCGAGCAAGTCGGCGATCTGGTCTTCGTCGAGCCGGCTCGCGCAGTCTTCGACGATGAGGTGGATGTCGACAAGCTCGGACGGGCAGTGGTTGAGGAACTGCAGCTTCTCGGCGTGCGTGAGCTCAAAGCGGCCAATCTTGGTGAGGAAGCCCGAGATCTTCTCCTCGCTCAGGTGCTTGGCGCACGACTGGAGAAGACACTTGAGCACCTTCGAGTCGACCCAGTTGCGCTCAGCGTACAGCGTGGCCTGCGGGCCCTTGCGCTCCATGCGGTTCTTCTTGCGCTCCTCGAGGAGCGTCATGACCTCGTAGTTGGTCAGCGGCCCTTCCGAGACCGCGAGCACCTTCATCTTCCTGTTGTCCAGTGGCCAATGGCATCGCTTGAGTGCACTATTTTATGCATTTATAACACTATATAAAATTATATTATGCACACTATACTCTGCTTTTACAACACTATTCAAAATGATTGAAATAGTGACAAGGTCACACGGATGTACACCGGGTCACCGGGGAATGCTACGTACACCGGGGTCTAAGCCGCGATCTTGGCCGGTACTTCCACGCGACATACAAACATTCAGTGTATGTGTGCCCCGGCACCGGGAAACCTCGCAAAGTCGATATATGCGAAGTCGAAGCCAGCGTTTGGGGTCATAAAGCAACGACCGAGACGAGGAAGATGACACTGCCCGTAGTCGAGACGACGGATGGCCCGATGCGCCTGCCGATGGAGGCCGCCACCATGGAGCGACGCCCGCAGTGGGAGCCGTATGACTTCAACGGCGGTACCGTGCTCGCGGTCGCGGGCAAGGACTTTGTCGTCGTCGCCGGCGACACGCGCCTCAGCACGGGCTACTCGATCCTCTCGCGCGACGAGAGCAAGGTGCACACGGTCGCCAACAACGTGCTTTTGGCGAGCCCGGGCAGCTTCAACGACGTGGTGCAATTGCGTGGCGTCTTGAGCATCCGCGCGCAGATGTACCAGCACGAAAACGATGCTTCGCCGTCGGTCGAGTCGATGGCGCAGCTCCTCTCCAACACGCTCTACTCGCGCCGCTTCTTCCCGTACTACTCGTTCTGCTTGCTGTGCGGCATTGACAAGAGCGGCAAGGGCGTCGTGTACGAGTACGACGCGGTCGGGTCGTACAAGGGCACGACGCGCGGCGCGCAGGGCAGCGGCGGCCATCTCATGATCCCGCTCCTCGACAACCTCGTGACGCACGACTCGCGGGCGGACCCGCTCCGCGAATACACGATTGAAGAAACCAAGGATATCATCAAGGACGCATTCATCACAGCCGGCGAGCGCGACATTTACACAGGCGACAAGGTCGAGCTCTTTGTCATTACGGCCCAAGGCACGACCCGCGAAGAGTTCCTCTTGAAGCAGGATTAAGCAGCGAGTCGCGAATAACGTACCAATGCCATGGATGCTATTGCAACAACCTCATGGAGCCTGCGCGTCTGCCTCGCATATGTAGCAGCAGCTCATCGTTCTGCTCGCGCCCATAACTTCCTGCAACGGCCTCAGATTGCTACAACATGCACCAGCGAGACGCATCAGCTAGCCTCGGGTCCACGCCGTGCAGGACGCATGCCATATTATGTTATGGATGGTAGACGAGTGGGCCTGGCGCTGTGAGCGCAAGGAGTCCGGGCAAGTCCATCGAGATCGGCCCCAACGCCAAGACCACGTCTCGAATACGATGGCCCGTCGGCGGTAGCGCGTCGTCCAGGACCTCTGCGCCAGCCGTCTTGGCCATGGTGTCTACATGATGGGCGCAGAGGCAGTGGAGGTGTCGAAGTACGTGCGTAAGCAAGTCCCGATGGAGAACCATGGGCTCCTTGGACTCGGGTCGATACTGCGCGTCCTGATCCGCAAGGGCCTCGAGGATCCCACGCACCCGGGTATCGGCGCTACCACGTCGCAGAGTCTCCATGCAAGCGTGGACCTCAGCAGCCTCGTCGTAGCCTGCGACAGCAGCGAGGCCCGGTAGCAGCAGCCAGTCGAGGACGACGACGGGAGCAGGCGCGATGCTGTGGATAAGAACACGGATCTCGACCGGCACCGAGTGGAGGTTCTGGCGCACGCAGTGCAAGAAGGCGTCGGTAAATGTCGTCGTCACTTCGCCGTGTGCGTGCGCCACGACCCGGTTAAACCAGTCGCGGCCCATGAATTTACAAAAGAAGCGCGCGTGGACTGCCACGTCATCGGTCGTATCCGGATCGTTCCGGAGGTGCGCCAGAAAGGCCGGCATCGCTTGTTGCAAGCTGAGCACGACAACGAGCGTCTCGACGCAGAGCAACTGCTCGGGCGCGTAGCGACACGCGCGCCAGAGAAGCGTCGGGCCCTCCAAGCTCGGCTCGAGCATGATGCGCAAAAGCTGGTCCAAGATGCCGGTAAACTCGTCTTGGGTCGACACCTGGTAGGCTGCTTGGCGCTTCTTGCGCGCAACCTGGCGCGTTCTGCTCTGGCGGCGGCGAATGCACGCTGTGAGAGCCATAAGACTTAGCGTGCTGAGCACAGCACCGTTGCCAAACGACTCGGTACACAGCGGAAGGAAGCCAAAGAGGTTTGAGCATGGAGTCGTAGCGTGCGCGGTCGTGCCGCTACGAAAATGCACGACAACGGTGCGTGCGACCAGCGTCTCGAGCGACTCAAGCGCTTGCAGCTGCAGACGCACCGAGGCATTGTGTGGCGCATGACGCCAGTTGGTCAGCGAGACATTGGCCAGCGCGCGCCGCACTTGGTCCAGTGATCCGCGAAACACAAGTCGCGTCGGGCTCTGGCGCTCTCCGTGCAGCTCGTAGAAAACACCATCGCTCTTTGGATCGCGGGCCAAGCACAGCGCCGTACTATTGGGCGTGAACGCGCAATAACTCCGCGCGGTCGGCGACGCGAGGCCATCGGTATCAGAGCGAAGCGCGCCGCCGGTCGTGGCACTGGTGAGCGTCACGCGGAACAGCGTCGCTGGATCGTCCGCGTTGGACAAAAGTTGCATTGAAAAATGGGCATCTCCGTGGTAGGGTGCGTCCGATGTGACGACGTACGGCGGGCTCACGAGGACGATGGTTGGCGCCGTTGGTGGCGTCGGTGCCGGCGCCGGGGCTGCATCGACAAAGACATCGATCCCAGTAGCCACGCTGAATGGCTCCTGCGCCAGCGCATACGCCACAGTAGCAAACGGCTCGCGGCGTTGCGAGACCATGTACTTGTTCTGCAGTGGCATGTTGGCATTGGCGAGCCCGGGGGGCGGGATGAAGATGGCACACTGGTCCTTGACGACGTCACCGGCGCTTAGTTTCGTAGGCAGCGCGTCGCACGACTGGAGTGTTCCACGCACGGGTGCGGCCATGAGTCGGAGCACGGCAGCGGGGTCGTTCCACGCGCCTTCGGTCAATCGCAGCTGCGTGCTCGTGTCCTGCGCAATGTGCAATGTGCGGTTTCTGCCGAGGCCGAAGTGCGGGAATGAAAGCTGGGCGCGTGCGAGCAGCGTCTCGGCGTCCATCGGGACGGCAGCCATCGCAAAGAACAAGACATCCATGTACACCGAGGCGTTCGGCGGTGGGTACCGCGCATGCGTCGGGTGCCGCGCCCAGTCGACGACTGTGGTATTGGCGATCGCGGCGAGTGTCGCATTCTTTTGCTTGAGAAGCGCGTTGGTCGGACCCAGCGCGTCGATGGCCGTCGACACGAGGCGCGTCAGCTGCGGTAGACCGTACTTGGTGCCATTGTTGCCAAGCGCGATACCGTCGCGATCGACGTCGACGACCTTTTTGCCGTTGACCGAAAAGAAGACGCCGCCCGACGATGGCAAGAGCAGCTCCAGTCGGTCCTGGCCTTTCTGCAGCAGCGAGAGGACTGTGGGCGGAAGCGTCGGTGCGGGTGTGGACCCGTGGAACTGCCGCGCGGCGCGCGGCGGCGGCCGCGCTTGGGGCTCCCGCGCGTTGTTGCCAATGTACAGCGTGTACGCCCCCGTCACTGACGCCAAGTCCGCGGCCGATTGGGATCCGCCCATGGAGTTGTATGACGCGCACGTGTGCAGTCCTGTCGCGTCGACGTACGAGATCAAGAAACGTGTGGTCCATGACGCGCCGCCGTCAGGTACGATCGATGCGAAGAGATGCACGAACGGCGGCGGTGCGTCGCGCGTGCCCACGGGCACTTGGCATGCGCCGTCGGCTTCGGTCATCGAATAAAAGCTCTCTTCGTAGCAGACCATCGTGCCGCCCGGCGTCGACTGCAGCGAGTAGAAGATGAGCACGAGGAGTTGTCGATCGCTGACTTCGAGTCTAATGCCAGGGTTGGTGCAGTCGTCAAAAGGCGATGCAAGCGCAAAGAGGTTGGCGTTGACGTTGGGCGGCGTCGGCTTGTAGACGCGCGCCACGAGCTCGAACGTCATGCCCTTTCCGACCGCCGTAGTGTAGATGGTCGACGCTTTGGCGCGCGACTGCGACACGAGCTGCGCGTCGTGGGGAGATGACGTATTGCGCAAGAACACGCCGTGGCGCGGCGACAGCGGCGTCGCCGCGATCGGTACCAAGTCGCCAAACGGGCAGTCTTGCAGGAGCGACGTGAACGGCGCGGATGCGTTGAAGAGGTAGACGCAAAGGAGGCTGTCGTTGGCGCGCGCCTCCAGGTACGTAGCTAGCGGCGCGTCACCGAGGGCCAGCGGCGCCAGCGCCAAGAGCATCCGCCAGCGCATGCTTGGAGGGATGAGCTCTTTTTCCGGTTGAAAAATGCAAAGTGGGAAAACTGAACTGCACTCGAGGTTTGTATACACATACAAACTTATATATATGCAGTTGCGGCGCTGGCATCGCGGCTGCAGTAGGGCGAGGCGAGCGGGAGCCGTGCACCGCAGTAGCGTGAATGACCAATGACCATCAACTAGTGTTCTGACGCCGCAGCGTCCCGTCTAGGATAACTGTACGCATAAAAAGGCAAATTTCCGAAACGCACCAGACAGGCCGAGTAGTTTCGGGCGCGGGATGACCGTGGTCGCGACCGATGCGCCAATGCTTGTGCTCTTCATCGCGGGTTGGTACCTCCCACCGGTGCTGTGGATCTACTACCGCCGCGCCCGCCACATCTGTCTCAAGTACCGGCTCCCACGCCGCACCGCTGTGCCCATGTTGCTCCTCACGGTCTACGCGCTCCTGATGCCAGCAACGAGCGTCTTTGGGAAGAACTGGCCGAGTATTGGGAGCTACGTCCTCACATTTATTGTGATTCCCATGGCGCTGTACGACTCAACGATGCGCTTTGAATCGAGCTCATTCTCGGGTTCCTAGGGTCTTCTTTATCATTACCGAGACCATGATCGTCGTGCTCTTTCAGATCACAGAGCTGCTCATGCTGCCACAGTCCAGCACGCCGCGCAAAGTCCGGCGGCTCATTCTATATCGATGGCTATTGCATCCGCCCATCCAGATCGTCCTCTCCGCGCTCGTCCTCGTCGGGCTTGTCGTACCGTTCTTGCGCATCGATGCCAAGACTCTCTTCCTGCCCGACGCCATTGGCACAGTCTCGCCGCAGTACCAGGTGCAAACTTCTTCGCGACAAACATGATGCACACTATGCTGCATTGGGCTAGGAATTCACTTCGATTCTCATTGTTGAAATCGTCGGCCTCCTCCTTCTCGTGCTGGTCCTTTCGTGGTACATCAGCCACGTTGTCGACAACTTTGGGCTGCGTCGCTCGTACCAACAGACCTTCCGCGGCATTGTCCTCGTCCTTGTCCTCATCGTGCTCGCGCGCGTCGCCGCCGACGGCGTGCAGGACGATACACTCCGGAGGCTAAAGCTCCCGAGCTTCTTCTCGGTCATTGGCGCCCATACAATGCTCTACTTTCACGTCTTCTTGCCCGTGCGCGCGATGCGGGCGTCCGGTACGCGCATTGGATTCTCTCAGAAGGACTCGACGGACTTCTTAGGCGACGCCACGCTGCGCCGCGTGCAGCGGTCGCCGTCGCGGATCCACCCGCACAACATGCTCGAGAAAAAATCGATTTTGGAAAAATTCTTGACCGACGACCACCGGTTCCGAACCTTCTTGACGTTCGCGCGGATGGAGTATACGACCGAGCCGCTCCTGGCGCTGCAAGCAATCGGTGCGTTTGAAGCCGGCGAGGCGTCTCTCAGTGCCGCGTCGCACCTTCTGGCGCAGTGCCTCTCGCCCCGCTGCGAGCTCGAAACCGAGGTCGGCAAACGTCTAAGTCCAGTGTACCACGACAAGCTCATCGAATTGCGCAACGCCGACGCGCCGCGGACGCCGCCGCAATTTTTCCACGCGTTTCGCCAAGAGCTCTTGGTGTGGATCCTGCACGAGCTCGTGCCCGAGTTTGTGGAACACCCGCTCGGCGTCGAGTACGTCGCGTTCATGCGGCTCGAAAAGTCTATGGACCGGCTCAACGTCGTCTTGGCGTGCGTCGAAGACATTGATACGAACTAGAGAACGAACTTTTGACTTTATCATATAATTTACGCAGACACATTTGAACGGTTGTTGTCGGCGTGATTGGTATGAATGGTGGTGTATAAGACAGGATGCAGCAAATGCACCGTGTGCGCAAAGTTGCCAACGACGCTGTTGTTGTTGCTGCTGTAGTCGCGCTCGAGGTTCACAAAGTACGCGTAGAGACTGTCGACGTCCGGTACTACGCCGGCGACGACGTCGTACACGGCCTTCATATCGAGCATCACTTGCGTGATCGAGACGTTGGAGGGTGTGATGTTGAGCTTCCTTTCGAGCGCCTTTTTTCGTTGATGCCGTCGGCGCGTTGAGCGTCACCTTGACCTTGCCATGCTCGAGGAGCGCGAACGGGAAGAGGCGAGAGGCGTCCACCAGCTGTAGCAGCTGCGTCGTGCAGTGCGTCGTGTTGTACATAAACATGCTCGCCGTCCAAAATCTCGAGGGTTTGGCCCGTGAGCACGTCGTGGCGCACTTGGTGGTCATGAAGGCGCGCTCCTTGACCTCGAGGTCCACGACGTAGGAGGCGGCGCGGGTGAATGTGATTGGCGGTGTCTCGTGGTCCATGCTGCAAATGGCAAACTGACACCAAAGTGCAATAGTGCAATATGACGCGAGCCAATCACAAGCAACACTGGCGCCGATCCGTATCTTTGATTGACACCACTGCAAGATCCTGTAAGGCTTCGTTGATCCCGACGCGCCAGGCTCTACCCAACGCTGAATGCAAGAAACTCACAAACCTCTATGCGAGGCCGGGCCATTGAAGACACGCAGGATACGCTGCATCGAAGCTGCATTGCCCGGAGTGCACCTCTGAATCGACCGAATATGTCTGCAAAGCCTAGCGTTGCTTGGCGCATCTCCTTGTCCGAGGCGCCTGTACCCTTGCTCCAGCTAAAAAAGGCTGGCCGCTGGTGTTCGGCTACTTGTCCAAGCGGCCGAGGTCCTCTCCCTTGATGGCCAGCGACGCGGGTGACGTTGAGGTCATTGAAACACGAAACACCCGCTGAACTCCTCAGCGCTGCGATTGCCGCTTGTAATCACATCGTAGTACCGGTAGCTGAGCCGACGAGCGTGAGTGGTAGACAGCACATTTGAAGCCGGCGGCGTGTCCAGTCGAAGAAGGAACTCTAGGTGGTTTTGTCTACTAGCCTATTTCATTGGCTGGTTTCCCACCAATGGTTAGGGTTTTCCTCACTCGGAGGTTTTGTCCACGTCTCTCGCAGTTTGTATGTCCCATAATGTCCTGAATCCAGTCCGGGCTATTGTCGTGGGGACCTCACTTGGGTTTTGGTTCCGTTCTGGCTTGCTTTCCGCTTGCCCATTTGCCTCCTCTTCTTCCTCTTCTTAGCTCCCACGTGCGAGCTTGACACTGACGCTTTTGTGTCCATCGGCTGCTCATCTTATGCGTGCGACACGGCTCTCGTGTTGGACAGTTGGTGTTGGACAGCCAACGTCGCGTCTACAGCCTAGACTCAGAGGTGCTTTGTCCAATGGCGTTTAGTAGCATTTCCCAAGATGCCCACTCTCACGCGCAATGCGATCGCGGTGGCCGTTGCCTTTGTGCTCGTCGCCACCTACGGCGCGTGCGTCACAGCGCTCGTTGCATCCAAGTACGGCCCGCTCCTCGAGATGCCCAAAGCGAGTGTGGCCAGCATCGCCGCCATCGTCGTTGCGGTCCTCGGCCTCGCACGCCTCGCATGGGCGCCATCGTACAAGGTCAACCTCGCTCTTCTCGTCTTGGCGAGCGGCTGCTGCGGCGTGCTGCTGGGGTTTGCGATTCGCGGCGCCTTGACAACGTCCGAAGCGATTGCGGTGGCACCGACGCTGCCGGCATACCAGCAGCGCATGACGAGCATCTTTGCCTCGGACGAAGCGCGCCAGTTCAACTACAGCGATAGCCTTGGCATCAACAGCCGTCTGCCCTCGCCGACCCTCAGCACCAACGGCGCCTACTACCCGTTCGACGCTGCGAGTGTCTTTGCCGAGGCGTACTGCATCGGCCAAGGCGACCACTTTTGCAGTGCCCTCCCGCTCACGCAAACGATCGTGTACCCGGGTCTGTGGCTCAACCCGAATGTGACGGCGGACGTAGCGCGCAACCTCTCGGTGCTGCCGACAACCTTCGCCAACGTCACCGTGACAGACACGACAACGATCGCGAGCTTCTGCGCCGCCGCCACGATCGCGGAGAATGACCACATGACACCGTTCGAGACAAGTGTGCGCCAACTGTGCAGCAGCTGCGCCACGCTTGCCAAGCTGGCGGCCATGGCCACCACGCACGACGCGCTCAAGACCTGGATCGACGACACGTGCCCGATGACGTCGGCCAAGCCGTCCGGCGTCTACTGCATCGCGACGGCCAAGTGTCTGCAGCGCGACATCGAGTACCCAGGCCGCGGCTACGACTACTTTTGCTATGCAAACTGGCCGTATACGTACATGAACCCGTCGTTCGATGTATGCTTTGGCTCGACGCTCATGTCGACCGTGCGCCAGTACGACGTGGCGATCGCGGTCGTCTCGAGCTTGCTCTTGCTAGTTAGCCTCGTGCTCGCTGCATATGTGTGGCGCACACGCCGCGGCCAAGACCACGCCGACACGGCCGTGCAGACACCGAAAGACACCGTCTAGCTCTCTTCGTTCTAGTACATAATACACTAGTCGTTAGTACACGAGATGGTTTTTGGTCCCGTCTTGATCCAACAAGCAGCATTGCATCGTACCGCACGGACCACCAAGTATGAGTTGTACTACGTAATATGACTAGAGTCGAATGGTGTCGATCCTGGTGGCGGTAGCTGGTGGCGGTACTAGTACCTGGTGGCGGTGGCACCAACTCGATAGATTGATACAATTGGGTGCCAGTGGCAGTGTGCCACACTCACGAACGGTCTCTACCACGCAGTGTACGGCCCTTTTTCGATCTTATCACTCTACCCCATTGTACACTATTGTACAATCTAAACATGTAGTAGTATGGCCTTGGACGTCGCAGGGAGCAACTACGGGGAGCGTGTACTGGATACGGCAATTCCACGACATTGTTGGCCTCGGTATCCGTATCCGGATACGCAGTGGGCGGGAACGCATTTTATCCAATCCGCGTGCGTCTTGCGTATTATTTTACCATATTCGTTTGGTTTCACGTCCCATGTATTATTAGCATTCAATCTTTGTATGAAAATCCTAGAATCGCTTAAAAAAGAATAAGGGCGATGCAAATTATTGGATCCGGGCCCGCGACCGGTCATTTCCGGACTGACCATGGCCGACTCGATTGCGGCGCAGCGCCTCCGGCAGGAGCGCAAGAACTGGCGCCGGGACCACCCCGCGGGCTTCTGGGCGCGGCCCGTGGCGGCCGACGACGGCAGCCTCAACATCATGGTGTGGCAGGCAGGGATTCCCGGCAAGGCGGGGACCATGTGGGAGGGCGGGACCTACAAGATGTCGCTGACGTTCTCGGAAGACTACCCGAGCAAGCCGCCGCTGTGCAAGTTTGTGCCACCGCTCTATCACCCGAACGTGTACCCGAGCGGGACGGTGTGCTTGAGCATTTTGAACGAGGACAAGGACTGGAAGCCCAGCGTCACGATCAAGCAGATCCTCAAGGGCGTGCAGGATTTGCTCGACTCGCCCAACATGGCCGACCCGGCGCAGCGCGAGCCCTTCCAGGACCTCAAGAACGACCCGGAAGAGTACAAGCGCAAGGTCAAGCTGATAGCGCTCAAGAACCGTGACAACACGAACTAAGACATCCCATTTTTACACCACTCGTGTGCACCATGGGAGACGCGACTGCAACCGGCGCGCCAAACTCTACGACTACAAACTAGCATGCATCTGGGTCGACGCTTCTATACGCCGTGCTTGATGAGGAGCGCGCCGACCTCGTGGTGGTGGCACTGCTCCGCGACCGTCAACGGCGTCATCCCGCCCTTCATCGCTTGGTGCGCATTCGCACCCGCTTGTAGCAGCTGCCGGACGACGTCCAGATGACCACTCGCGGCCGCCACAAACAGCGCCGAGCTCCCGTCCTGTGCATAGCATGAGCTTCTTCCGTCATTGTCTCGATCATCATCTACCTTCATCGTGTGGTCGATGCTGGCGCCATGCGCGAGCAAGACCTCGACGCACTTGGCATGGCCTTTCGCAGCTGCGACGATGAGCGACGTCGCGCGGTCGTCCGTCGCCTGCTGCACACTGGCGCCGGCGTCCACGAGCTGGCTCACAACGTCGGCGTGGCCGTGCGACGCCGCCGCCAGCAGCGCAAACGACTGCGCATCCGAGATGATGTTGACGTTGGCGCCGGCCTTGATGAGCGACCGCACCACGTGGCCATGGCCTTTCGCCGCTGCAAGCATGAGCGGCGTCGTGCCATCCTAGCCACCCGCTCATCATGAGCCTCATGCTTCAAGAGGACAAAGGTCTACCAGCGTCTCGGCGTCGACGTCGGTGAGCGGCAAGAAGACGTCGACGAGCGCCATGTGTCCATTCTGCGCTGCAATGTGCAGCAGCGTGGCACCGTTCTACGCACAAATTGCCATCTTTTGTATCAAGGTATCAAGATCGTACGCGCATCGTGGCGGCCGTCGACGGGTATTTCGGCAGCAACGTGGTGACGAGACCGACGTGGCCGTGCTCGGTGGCGACCATGAGGGCTGTTGCACCCGTCTACGTTGCACGATGAGTGTCGAATCGCGTGATTCGGAGGGGACCTTGGTGGCCGCCAGCAAGTCGACGTCGGCGGCGAGTAGCAGGTCCACGATTGCAGTCTGACCGCACGCCGCCGCCACGATCAGCGCCGAGGTCCCGTCCTACACGGCGTCACGTCAAGCGTCTGGGTAAGAGAGAGACCGGCGTACCTCTATCGTGTGATGCAGCGACTTGGGCGAGAACGTCGAGAGCTGCTTGAAGACGGCCATGTGGCCGTGCTGGGCGGCCAGGAGCAGCGCGCTGGTCACCGCGTCCAGCGACTAGTCATGTAATTCATCAGAAATGATACGAGGTGAAGTGGAGTGCGTACCCAGTTGCCTTGGGCCAAGAGCAAGTCGACCACCGCCGTGTGCCCGTACTGCGCTGCGAGGGCGAGGGCCGTCGCACCGTCCTACGCGCGCCATCAGCATCGATCGCATAAGACATCGGCGATAGCTCTACCTGGCGCGTCTTTTTGAGGTCGGCTTTGACGAGAAGCAGCTCGACAATCGCCAGCTCGCCCTTGGCACACGCCAGGAGAAGCGGCGTCGTCCCATCCTAAGCAAAGTTGGTCTCCAGATGCACGATGGCAAAGTCGTGTACCGAGAGCGGAATGTCGACGTCGTTGACGGCGTCGAGGAGCGCACGGACGACGTCTTGATGCCCGTGCTGCGTGGCGAGGAGCAGTGCTGTGGCACCGCCGTCCATTGCGACCGTCGGGCGCGCGTGCGGCAAGAGCAGCTGGACCATGGCAGCGTGCCCGTTCTGCGCGGCCACGACGATCGGTGTTGCGCCATTCTACGTATATACGATGCATGAGGATCCGACGAGGTAGATGGCATCGAAGATGATGATGGCGTACGTGCATGGCCTTGGTCGCATCGGCCTTCTTCTCCAAGAGGAGACGCGCAATCTCGAGCGAGCCGACCTGCGCGGCCATAAACAGAGGCGTGACGCCGTCCTACAGAGGACATGAGCGACGAGGCGAGCGACGTTGCGTACGTTGGCGGCAATGTTGACGTCGGCGCAGTCGACGAGCAGTTGGACAACGTTGACATGGCCATACTGGCACGCGATCAAAAGTGGCGTAGCGCCTTCCTATGCACCGATGTCTTCAATCCGTGCAAAGGAGGAGGATGGCGTCGTCGTACCCGCGTCTGCGCGTTGACGTTCGACTGCGCGAGAAGCTCGCGCACGAGCTCAATGTGGCCTTTGCTGGCGGCAATGTACAATGGCGTCCGGCCCACCTACGCGACGGTCAGCTGCATCGCATGAGGGTGCGCTCGTCGTACGTCGTCCTTGGCATCGATGCAACCGCACTTGGCCAGAAGCGCCGTGAGCTCGTCGAGAGACCCGTCCTTGGCCGCTTGTAGCAGCGCATCGCGGGAGTCCTACGCCCACATGAGACGCCAACCCATCGAGGATGCCAAGGACGTACTTCGTAAATCGCCATGGGTTGCAGGTTGAAAAGTGGGTCCAAGCTTCGCCCAAACGGGCACTACGATCTGTGATTGGCTAAAATTACGCGACATGGGCCAATCATGAACACCTGTCAGGCAGTTGAAGTGCCGATTATAACACGTTTGTTATAACCTCGCCTGGAGCATTGCCCATCATCATCTGCCCGAGGTTGAAGAAGCTTCGCACTTGGTGGTGGTGGTGGCCGTGGCTTGGACCATCACCGCTGCTGCGATCGCGACGGCGATAAAGCGTCCCGACGACCTGCACAGTTGCAAGCACAGAGCTCTCTTCATTCTGAACGACGCGACAACCTACGCGGAGGCATGACGGCCGCCACCCGACCAGCATGGGATGTGCCGTCGTAAGGATACCATGCATGGCTTCGTCGAATGGCCATTCACTTGGCTACTGCTCGCTACCACTGTGCACCCGCTAGCGCGGGAGGCTTTGCGCGGGCAGCTCGCGCCGGCAACCCAGAAACGACGAGCAGCTCAGTGGCGTCCCTGCGTGACCTGGCTACAGACGTGACAGGCATTGTTCCTTGCGTGCGACGTCAGCCAATGCGTCCATTGGCCTGTCTGAGTTGCCTGCACCCAGAGCAGCTTCAATGCACCGCGATGATGCCACTGCCACCGTTGGTGCAAACTGTAGGTGCGACTAACTTTTCGCTCCCATCAACGACAGACGGCCCTCGCTGACGGGGCTCGGAGCATCGGCATGGGTCCGTGGCAAGGTCCAGCGTGGTATTGCCTCCTTCTGTAACACGTTCCGCGGCGGATCTAACGGCACCACGACATGTTATAACGACGCCGACGGTTCTAACACACCAGCCGATCTGATCGGCAGGCGGCTGGAGGCAGGCAGGATCAGCCACAGGCACGGATTGCGCCCTAACTTCAACATGCGACGACGCGCGGTGCCACGCCCGGCAGTGTCACTCGCGCGGCTGCGCCCATCAATGCGCATTCTACGCGTGTCTTGATGGTCATCATCCTAGCTAGCGACGAGCTACTGGTCCTTGGCCAGAATCGCGTTTGCAGCGTCAATGCGGTACGCCTTGGCGTTGCCCGGTCGCCGCGTGAGCTTGCGTGCGCGCATGTTGAGCTGGTGCTCAATGTCCTGGAAGCTCACGCCGGCCGCGACGCAGCGGGCCATGGCAAAGTACAGGACGTCAGCACCTTCTTCGGCCACGTGCACGGCGTCTATAGGATGTTTGACGATCAATAGGTTGTTGTGGTGTCTCGACGCGATGCAATACCAGTGGCCTCGGCGAGCTCCTGCGCTTCCTCAACGAGCTTATTGCGCAGCAATGTCATGTCATCAAAGAGGCGCTTGGTGTACGAGCCGGGCGGCGCCGACTGCTTGCGGTCCTGCAGTGTGGCCTGGAGGTGGCGAATGCCCATCGCCGGTCCCCAACACGTGCGCGTCTCGAGGTGGCAAAAGCTGCCTGCATCCGGCGTCGTTGCGCGTGCCGGGCTGTGCTGGAAGACCGTGAACCGCAGCGCGTCCGAGTCGCAGTCCATGTCCAGCTGGATGAGCTCTTGGACGTGGCCGGACGAGTCGCCTTTGGGCCAGAGTCCATTTCTATTGCATAAAAATGTAAGGTAATCACGAAGGATATGTTGCAACGTGCCGGGACCGGGAGTAGTAGATGCCACGGCGCTGCTGGACGGACGCCAAAATGCTCTCGGCGCTCGAGTAGACCAGGCCAAGCGCCACGCCTGACGCGTCGGTGACGACGGTAGTAAAGAGTCCATCTAGACGGTCGCTCTTGAGGCACCGGATAAAGGCGTCGGTGACCACGTCGGTGGTGCTGGGTACCGCCGCCAGACTCAAGTGCTGTGCATGCAACGGCTTGACGTCGGTGGCGATCGCTGTACCCGGTGCGTCGACCGCGATCAAGAACCCTTCGGGCAATGCCTTGCGCAAAGGCAAAACCGCCTCGGGCGACACGTCAGCTGGAAGCTGCAAGAGCAGACCAGAGGCAAAGGCCGTCACGGCTGGCAGCGTCGTTGCGAGCGCCGCCACGTCGGCGCTGGTGACGGCCACCGAGAGGAGGACGCGGTCCGCGGGCAGGTCCAATGCAATGCCGCCGCTGACGAGCGCTGTGTATGTGGTATGGAACACGGCCTTGTGCGCGCCGTGGTCGAGCCACACGACGGCCGCGTCAATGGCGTCGGGCGAGAATGGCCCGACGTAGAGTCGCGTTGTCGCCAGAAGCGCCGGTGAAAACGCTGCACTCGACAGCTCTGGCGCAGAGAGGCGGACGTAGACGGGTCCGAGGAGACTCCACGCGCGCAGAGGCGCCTCGTTCAACGTCGTTGCGATCGGAAGCAGCATGGTGGTTGAAAAGGCAAAATGGACGGTCCCGTTGGTGGTGCGATCTTGGATTGGCCAATCACCGCGCCGGATTTCCCACCACGGATGACCGCGGAATAAGATTGTGGCACATGTGTCGACGCTCGGTGTGCGTCCAGCGGCTTCGCAATGAAGCGCCGCGAACGTCGGCCGCGATGAACGTGGAGCCATTCATCACTTGAACGACAAGCGCCCACGCCGCCGGCACGCGCATGTCGACATGCGGACGAGATTGCCAACCAGCGTCCGGCGCCCGATGGCAGATGCGCTGCACATGGTCAAGGTCCCGTCAACGTGCTACCTGGAGCGACGGTCCGCACGGACTGGGCCCTCACTGTAGCGACACAAGGTACAAGCGCTGCTGGCACCCAGATCGACGATGGATACAGGTAGAAACTGGAAGGAGTGGCGACGAGCGACAACGATCATTGTACAACGAAATACTGCCCGCGCCGAATGCTTCAAACGGGTGGGCAGTCTGCACGCACTGTGCTGGAGGCAAGCGGTGATGACGCTCGGTGATTGATCGGAGTACGGTCCAACATCGTGGTATTGGAATGGCCCAAGTTGTTGCTTTGACGAGGCGTGCACTCGCAATAAGCAAACAAGCTCTTAGTTGATGACATCTCAGTGAAACAATAAGATGCCGCTCATCGTCCTTGGATGACAGCGGCAAGAGCCCTGCCCTGCCACCCTACGCGTAGTATGTTGCGTGTCGTCGCTTCAAAGTTGCCGTTGCCGTCAACGGAAATCCATCGCTTGACAAGACCATTTCATTGTCACGCGCTCGACACGCCGTCACACTTCTCGGCCGGCAAGTGCGTTGCTATCGCTTCCAACGGCGCCGCCGAAGGAGGCAGTCGCCCGGCGAGTCGCGGCGGCCCACGCTAGAGAGCCCGCAACTGCATCCTCTGCTTCCTCGCTCCACGATTCCACCGTCTTGAATCCTTTCTTGGCCCTACGTCAATGGCATTCAGCGCGCTCATCGCTCGTTGGTCGGCTCGGTCGCGTGCCCGGTCGGCGAGATCCGCGGTCGCGTCGTTGCCGTTGCCGTCAAGCGTCCTGTCACTGTCGCTTCGCCGACGCCGAGTACGATCCGCACCTTCTATCGCGCGTAATCTTGCAGACAACCTTGCGGCGCACCGGCCATGCGTGTACATTGACGGCGAAATGCTCTCTGGATGGGCCACGGCCCGTCGTCCCGCCGCCGTCGCGCTTCGCCAGCGTTCATATCTATGTGTCACCTCTGAGAATGCATATGTTCCCCGATCGATTTTGAGAAAAATAAAAAGAGAGAGGAAGTCGACGGCTTCGGGGCCAGCCATATTTTCGTTTTGGATCGTACTGACTGATGTTTGCTCAACGCTTCCTCCGCACGGCCGGCGCCCGCGCCTTCTCGTCGGCGCCCAAGCCCACGTCGATCAACGGCAAGGGCTCGCTCGACGCCATCTACGCGGCCTTCATGAAGAACAACATCACGTACGTCTCGACGATCGTCGTCGCGGCGGTCCTCTTTGAGGGCGTGTACGGCACGACCACGTCGGCGCTCTGGGAGTCGATGAACCGCGGCCGCCTGTACCACCACATTGACTGGAGCCAGTTCAAGTCGGACCTCGACGACGAAGAGGAAGCGGAAGACGAGGACGACGAGTAAACGCCCGCACCACACATGTACCATCCGCCGGTATGTTTATGGAATAGAAAAAAGGGTTATTGTGTATCCTCTCCGTGCCACCTTGCCTCTTGGCCCGTGACGACGATGCTGCGTACATGCACGTGGTGATGGCCCTCTCGACATAGCGTTGGCGCCACCTCGCCGCGCATCGCGGACATTGCCCTATGGCAGCCTCTTGCCTGCCCTGCCCTGTCCTCGTCTACCGAAGAGCCGCGACCATATAGAGCTCACACGCCGCAGCACGGCTCCACATGGAGGCGGACGACACGCGTCGGAGGTGACTGGTATGGCGAAAGTACAGGAATGTAGAATTACAAGCAGATTAAAAATCGTCGTCGAGGACGAATGCAGGGGTCGACGTCGCCGCCACTGGCGAGAGCGTGGCGGCCGCGAGCGACAGCGTTGCTGCGACGGACACTGTGCGCGGCTTGGCGACGCCGGTGCCACCTGCGTACGAAAAGAACTTGCCATTGGCCACGACCATGTTGGCCTACAGATTCCTTAGTTCCGTGCTGTCGCACGCCACAAGTCATTCTACCGCATCGAGGGCGACGTGGTGTGGAAACTGCTTCATGCCCAGGAAGCGCTTGAGCGCTTCCTTCGCAGGCAACGTCACGTGCACGTGCGTCACGTTCGGTAGCGTGGCCCAGCCGTTCCGGAGCACCATGGCCCAGCCGTGCTTGGCGTCGTCGGCGTTGACAAGCACGTACTGCACGGTCTTGTCAGTGTTGGCTGCGGCCTGCGCCAACAATGTCGCGATGGCCTCGGGGCATTGGACGCACGTCGTCGACCAAAAATCTACCGAGCGTTTCACGCTTGTATCAAGTTGATACAAGCCGTACCGAGGATCGTGGCGGTGCGGCCGCGCGGAAGAAGACTTGTGAAGTCCGCCGGCATCATCGTGCGCATGTCGGTGGCAAGGATCTTGGGGAAGGCCTTGCCGTGACAGGCATCATGGCCCACGTACACCGTCGGCGACGCCTACATTCAAGTGAGCTCTCGCGCACCACGTCGCACAATGCCTCACCGGAACTTGCGCGTCCAGCGCGGCGTACGAGAAGAAGCTGCCGTTGAGACGCACGGCGTGGTCCTACCGTCCAGATTAGGAAACACTACGTCGTGATCGTGGCATTGCGCACGTACCGGGCCCAGGTACACGTGGTGCGGGACCTGCTTCATGCCGAGGAAGACCTGCAGCGCCGTTTTGGCGGTCGGCGACACGTGCAGATGCAGCACGCGCGGGTCGTGGTGCCACTGCCGCGTCTGCACCATCGACCAGCCCTTCGTCGCATTGTCCGTGTTGACAAGGATGTACTGGATCCGCCCCATGGGCGCATGCTCGGCGTGGTGCGCAAGGAGCGTCGCGATTGCTTCAGGGCACTTGACGCATGTCGTCGACCAAAAGTCTATGCCATAGCAAGATGAGCCGATCTAATGCAACAAGCGCGTTGACAGCTACCAAGGACAACGAGAGCGTTCCGGGTCAACACGGCGTGCAGCGAGAGCTCGATCTGCGTGCCGAGGCGCAGCACGGGCACGTCTGGGATCACCTTGCCGTGGCACGCGTCGTGACCGGGCAGGTACGCCGTGGGCGACGACGGCGGCGTTGGCGGCACCGGCTGCACCATCATGTCGACAATGTCGTACGAGAAGAACGAGCCGTTACGGATGACGTGGCGGGCCTAGCGTGCAGCATTGGCACGAGCAAAGATCGCTAGGATGTACCGGGTGCAACAAGACACAGTGCGACGATTGCTGGAGCCCGAGGAACTTGTCGAGCGTGGCCTTCTCGGACGGCGCCAAGTAGACGTTGAGAATCGCCGTGTTCTTGTAGTGCGCCTGGACACGGTCCCACGCCTTGACAGGATCGTCCGTGTTGATGAGGACATATTGCAATGGCAAGTCGCCGCTGTGCTTTGCGTGGTGGGCCACGAGGGCTTCCATGGCCGCGGGACTCTTGGGACACGTCGTCGACCAAAAGTCTAGTCAAAATAAGACAAGATGTCCATAAAACGAGTGCCGACCGTACCGAGAATCGTGTACTTTGTCGGCACGAGCAGCTCAAAGAGGCTGCGCGCATATCGGGCGTTGGGTGCCGGAAGGATGACCACATCAACGTTGGGAAACACCATGCCGTGGCACGCGTCCTGCGGTACATAGAGGGTCGTCGACGGCACCGCTGGCATCGCTGCCGGCTGCAACAACTCGAAACTGAAGCTCGGGCCGTGGGCGAGCACGCGGTGGCTCTACAACGTCCATGAACTCTGGAAGGTGAATGATGCGTACGGCGTCAGCAAGGACATGGTACGGTGTCGCTGAGATACTCAGTGCCTTCTTGAGCGTCGCGAGCGCGTCTCTAACGAAACCTTTATGAGCCTCCATGCGCGCCTGGACTCGGTGTAGATCTACCCGGCGATGTGGTAGTGGTGCAGCGTTTGCTGCGGGAAAAACCACTTTTTGAGTGCGACCTTGTCGGCGACCTGCTCGGGCGACGGCGCGTCATGGAGGACGATGAAGTGCACGTCGCGCCGCTTTGCTTGGAGGTCGATGGCTTGCGCCTGAAGCGCTTGCATCGTCGTCGCCTTGGTCGTCCCATCGAGCAGCACTACTCTCAGCATTAGAAGACATGGCATGCGGTATGAGCTCTCGCACCGAGCACGGTCTTGGGCGCCTTGGCCGGCATCGTTTCAAACAACGTGAACGGTGCCTTTGTAAAGACGTCGGTGACCGTCACGTTGGGTAACGTGTGCTGCGCACTGAGGCGGGGCGAGCTCACGTGCGAGCGGACGCCTTTGAGCATCTCGACGTGCACCGCGCTGCCCTGGATCTGGATACCAAGTTTGGCGGCCCGTGGGAGCCCGAGCTCCATTTTAGCGAGGGCAGCGACCTTGGCGATCGCCGCGCTGTCGGCCTGGCCTTGCATCGCCGGGCTCAGGCGGAGCGTGGCGGTCGACGAATCCCCGTGCAGAGCTTCGATCTCAACGTTCATCTTTGCACTTTGAGCCGGTTGAGGAGAAAGGCAACTTGGCGCGCTAAAAATACCACGCCGTCATTGGCTGGCTTGCTATTGATAGAGCCAATCCGCATCCAGAAACCAAGATCTGATATTCTGATTGGTAGAAAAGGAATGCGGTTTCGCTCGGATCCTAGCTTCCGTGTCGCTTAGGATTGGTTGCAACGCCATCCTTTTCAGCCAATCCACACTTTGCTGTTGACGATTCAACCAATGAGAACCATAAAACGCATACATTTCTCCACAATTTCAACCACTCATAAGACGAATACAGGTTGGCATCGACCATAGCTTTTGAATCTCCACAACGCAACATGACTGCGCGCGCAGATGGTTCAAACGACGGAGGACAACATACAAGACCAAGATGCAAGCGCCCACGCAATCGAATCTTTTCTGCAATAAGATTGTCTGGCGCCGAGTTGAAGTCACACCGAGGGTGTCGACTCGACACACGATTACGCAAGGGCCTGCTGTGACAGACACAACAATAGACAAGGGATTCTTCTCTGTGCTTTCTCTCTATTCGAACTCTTTCCAATACTGGAAGGACCTTCGTTGCTACAGCTTGGACTGGCAACCTCGGGGTAAAAACACGAGTACGTTGGCACATGACACAGGTGGTATTCGAGTGCATTTACGCCTTCTTGGCCTTCTTGGCCTCGGCTTCAATGGCGGGCTTGGCGTTGCGTTCAAACTGCGCAACAATCTCGTTGAACGACGTGTACGCGAGGATGCTGGGGAAGATGCTCCACGGCATGTTCATGCCGACGCAGATGACCCAGAAGAGACCCGGGTCCGACGAGACGTGCGAGTGCTCCGAGAAGAGCGGGTGGAGGCAGAACCACGTCAAGCCGTACAGCTGCATGATGCTCACCTAGTCGTGTCAAATGAGTCCAATTGCAGTCCACTCTGTGGCGCCGTACAATCAAGGCGACCGGGTGGTAGTAGCTCTTGTTGGTGACAAAGGCGTACGCAGCCAAGAGGCACAATGGACCGTCGAGCAGCGCCCTACACAGAGGCATGCTGGATGCAAGCGAGCGATATATGGAGGTGTTGTACGTGATGGTCTCCATGGCCGCCGTGCCTTCTTCCATCGGGTAGCCGTAGCGGTAGTCCGAGGCCGAGTAGAGGTCCATGGCGCCGCCAAAGTACTGGTTGTCGCGGAAGAACGTGAACGAGAGCTCGAGGTAGCTGTGGATGTAGCCCGAGAGCACAAACCAGCCGACCGTGAACGTATGGGCACGCTTGGGGTTGATGACCGTCAAAATGAGCATCGTAAAGTGCGCGAAAAGCATGAGCGGCACGAGCATGTAGAGCCACTCGGAGAGCTCGACCTTGTTGAAGGCTTCGGCGAGCGTCTGCTGCGGCGGGACGACGGACGGCATGGCAGGCAAATTCGAAAATGACACACGTCGATCCTTTCATACTTGATGCCAGGTGCATCGATTGTGGAAGGTACCTGCGATAATACATACAAAGTATGCATTATGACAGGATTTTCGATGATTCGTGCGCTGGCAGAGGGGCCGTGAACATGCGAGACGGCGTCGGTGAGGATGCCAAGGAAGCGCGGACTTGGCTACCGGCGAGGTCGCATGCTCCATGGACGAGATGAGAGACGATGGGTCATGGAGCGAAAACACTGCAGGCGATGCATGGCAGACTGTTCGGACGTCGGCGAACGTACCAGACGTCCAACATGGGCAAAGGCGCGAGGCTGGTGGCTGGCTGCAAGCACGCAGAGGAATACGGGCGAGACGATGGCGCCGTCAACATGGCTGTGCTGGAGTTGACGTACAGCGTGAACTCATCATGCGATGAATGGCTGCGCATCAGTGAGATGGGCGGGTGTAGAACCTGCCTGCCCAGCAGTGGTGCCGCAGTACCCTCGCTCCCCAACAACGGGTGAATCATGGTCATTAAGTAGCGCACGCCGCCTTGGTAGAGCTGGCTGGTAGCACAGTGCTCCATCTTGTGCTACGGAGCGCCACGCCCGATTGTGTGGCGGGCAAGATCGTGGGATGTTACCCATTAGGAGTCGATGGCGGGCGTCGATCCCTACTAACGTTAGCATCGGCAAGACACCTCCAACAAGCTACGCAGCGCCATCGCCCATGATCGCAGGCGCTGGACGACTGCCTGCCGGAGAGCGCGACGCTCGACATGCCACGCCTTGATCATGGGCAGGTGGACGGTGTTTCCATGGATATCAGTCCCGCGCGCTGCCCTTCGGCGTGGTCATCGCGTTGTCTACCAAGCCATTGCCGTCCGAGACGTCGTCTTGCAGAGAAAGACGGGACGCAATGAGATATCATGCATTAGTCGAGAAGCGCGGAGGCTATCGGAGGTCGCACTAGTATTTCGGGTCGATTTGGCGGGACCAGTTCTACAAGGGCGAGCGTGGGCGACGAGGCGCAAGCCAGCGCATGGGCGTACCTTGTAGTCGGGGTCAAACTTGAACTGGTTGTCGTCGAGGAAGAGCATGTCGACGACCAAGATCATCGTGAGGAAGATGACGACCGTGGCCTACATGGACGAGAACGACGACGCATGAGGCCTCTACCTAGGCAGGCGCGCATGTACCCAGGGGATCCACGCAGCATCGGCGGCGATGGCGACGACGATGAAGAAGAGGATGAGGAGCGCCTGGAGCTTCTGCCGGTATTTGTACATCGTGCTTGCTCTGTAGTGTCCGTTGGGGGCCCTGCAGTCAAAGGATGGAAACTTCCGTGTTTTAAACAATCACCCAAGTGTTTTAAACACCATTTGCGACAAAGAGGCGGTGCGGTTGAAGGCGGCAATCCTCGCAGACTGTATACTGGCACCCAACCTTTTAAATTCGATGTACACACCATTTTACGGACTACACTATATCCACAATAATTTTTCTGTACAACACCAATTTATGAACCACACTATTTAAAACGAAACGGAGCGCGCCGGGCTCGCAGGATCTGGCAGCGGCCCCTTTGCCAGGACTGCGTACCCCACGCGATGCTGTACATATCGATGTTTAGTTGGTAACGTGCACTTTCATTCAGCGTGCTAGAGCGTGTCAAGCAGAATGGAAGGGACCGCCAGGAATTGAAAGCAGCTCTGCACTCTGCATTCGTCAGCACTGGTAAACGTCATGATGACATTCATTTTGCAGTCCCTTTTGCCTCTCGTCCAAAGACAAAGATTAGACAAATCAAGGCGAGGCTTTTCCTCAGAGCCGTCGGGCGGCACCTGATGTTTTCGATGCAAAGATACCGCCGACATGATGCGTACAGTACTAGTACTATACAAGTAGAATTTTGGTCGCCTGTCCAGCAACCCGTTGGCGATGTTCGGCCTATTTCACTCAACGAAACAACGTCCGGCGTTTGCAGCAGCCACCCCTCCCACGCTTTCATGCCACAGCAAATACTTGGTATCCGTGTGATTTTGCTCAACTTTTGAAACAAAGTCGCAGTACGAGTGGCGCAAGGCCAACCACAGACCTCGACTCGCGGCCCAAAGTAATTGAGCTGGAAGACTTCAAGTAATCTCGGCAACCTACTCCATTATGATTGATACGGTGTTTCTAGATTCTCCAATGGCCTCCAGCCGATCGCAGGCTCACCACAAACACTGTGAGCTGTGCCCCAGAAACAAATCGTGAGTGGAGATGACTTTTGCAAAACGAGCTTCACTTGACGCCCCGCCTCTGGGGTCGGCTCGCGCCAATTCCAGAGATTCGCCGAGATGCGACCAGGTACCTGCAACACGGTAGTGGTCTCGGAATCTTCGCTAACCCGCTTGAGGGTGCGTCACCAACAGCCTGGGTTAGCTCGCACCCAAAGGACCACGTCACCCGATCGTGGCTTGAGTTCTGTTGCTTGCAAACGTGGCAGCGCTCGGGCTAGAACGCTGATCTGTCGTACACTACCTCACAGACTACATTGCCCGTTCAACAAGAGTCGTTGTAGGGAATACCTCGTGCGCGATTCATCGCATGAGCAGGTCCCAGTTCGGCGAGACAACTGCCATCTGTAGTGCCATATGGTAATGAACGGCTCTGCGGCGCTTCAAGACCAAACAGCCGAGGACTCTCAGGCGCTGGAGAGACCCATAGCTCGTTCCCGCAATAGCTTTTGCCGGTGCGGATTCTATGCATGCGAAAATATTGGCGCGTTAAAGTGGCCACCAAAGACCATTCTATGTGGAGCAATAGAGTCGGGACGACAATGACCGACATGCGGGGGCCAAAGTGCGCCTGGTCTTGGCTCGCATGACTCCCATGAGCGACACTCTTAGCTACTAGAACGCAACCGTTGTTTTTTTCCGGAAATACTGTACAAAAGTAAGCAGATGCTGGAACTTTCCCGGACTTGGGCAGCACTCGAAGCGGCGTTCCTCTCACCTTCGTGCTGAGATCCGCCTCAAATATTCGACCACGTTGTTAGTGCGAACGCGAACTTGGATTTGAAAAAGCAAACGAACGCAGCACAACAACGTATTTTACAATCGCTGGCGTGGTGGCGGACTCATGCGCGATCCAATGCGACGCCAACGATATTCGAATCACTTTCCTCAGATGCTACTACTTTAGTACTCGCACCGTAGCAACTGGGAATGAAGCTGTTGGGCGCACTTTGCTCTTGTCGATTCCGCGTCATACCTGCGCGAAACTGTCGGAATCTTGTCCCGCGGTTTGCATCCAGCTCGGCGTTTCTCTCGGCCTTGAGATTCCGATGCAGACCAGATGTCAGACCACATGTTTTAGATGCGGCACTCGCCGACCCGACAAGATTCCAATCCAGCTGCTTTGAATCTGGCACGTGACTCACATTTCCCAGGTCCACCGGAGGAGCGTTCGCCGTCGCTATCTGAGAACAGCCCGTGTCCCACGGGCCTCAGATTGAGGGCCGACAAGATACCCCTTGCCGTTGACGACATCGTCTTTCCTCACTCTTCCATTTGCCACCTCTCGAACATGCAGCTCTCCAAGTGCCTTGCTGGTCTCTCGCTCCTCGCCGCGACGGCCGCAACGTCCGTCTCGCAGGTCCACGTGACGCTCTCGTCCGAAGTCGTCGGCTGCAAGGACGGCGTGTCGATCACGTTTGCGAGCGACGCGGCCACGCCGTTGACGCTCACGTACAGCGCGGGCAGCACCGAGAAGACGGCGACGACGACCATCAACTCGTACAAGGTCGACGATGTCAACTGCACGTATGCCTCGCCCAACTTTCACACGGCGCAGCTCTGCGACCTCTCGGCCAACACGCAGTACACGTACTCGGTCGGTGGGTTCAAGGAAAGCTTCAAGTCGATTCCGGCCAAGGGCAAGAAGACCGTTCTCTCGGTCGTCGGTGACGTCGGCATTGAGCAGATTAAGGCCACGATCTCCAACATGGCGGCCGACCTCAAGGGCACGACGCCGGACGCGGTCATTGTCGCGGGCGACTGGGCGTACGCCAACGGCTTCCATGCCGACTGGGACAAGTGGCTCGAGGCGACGCAGCCGCTCTTCTCCAAGACGCCGCTCCTCGGCATCAACGGCAACCACGAGGTCATTCAGGGCAACGGCGTCAACTACGACAACCAGTGCAAGCCCGAGTACTACTCGGCGTACAGCAACCGCATCGTGACGCCGATCACGGACGAGGCCAACAAGGACCACCGCACGTGGTACTCGAAGAAGATTGGCAACATCCACGCCGTCTTCCTCGACGACTACACGGGCGTCCTTGGCGACAACAACATTGGCTCGGACTACTGGCTCACGCACCGTAACCAGCAGCTCGACTGGCTCAAGAAGGAGCTCGCGGGCGTCAACCGCGAAGAGACGCCGTACCTCATCGTCTTCAAGCACAACCCGTACTACAACACGTGGGCCAACCACCAGTGCCAGTGCTCGCCCGTCAAGTTTGAGATCAACGACGTCGAGTCGTGCTGGAAGGGCAACTACTACACCAACTCGACGGCCACGAGCGGCAAGCTTGGCGGCCCGCGCAGCGAACCCCACTGCGGTCTCCAGGGCAAGTTCGAGGACCTCTACCTCCAGTACGGCGTCGACGCCGTCATGGCCGGCCACGTGCACGCGTACGAGCGCACGGCGCCCATTTACAAGAACAAGATCACGGACGGTGCCCCGGTGTACTTCACGGTCGGTACCGGTGGCCACGGCCTCTACCAGGGCGCGATCTCGCCGATCCCGGACTGGTCCAAGTCGACGTCGAGCTCGCTTTATGGCGCGTCGCGCGTGATTGCTGACGACGACAAGTTGACCATCTACTACCGCGCCAACGGCGAGACCACCACGATCTTTGACTCGGTCGAGATCAAGCGCCGTGCCAAGCCCGCATGCTAAGTGGGTTTTGTATTTTCCACATTTCCACGACTATCGATCTACTGTAATCGATTTTATCTTTTTCGTTTTGAAATTTGACTTTGGATATCGTTCAACTGTGACGCACTTGCGCTGGTGAATGTGCGGCGAGCGGTGTCGAGAGCGCGAGAGGTTACACCTTCTCCACGGTAGGTCGGTGCCGAACCGGGCTGCTACTGTGTCTACACCTAGCACGACACCACGTATCACATTCTGGAACTACCCTATTCCTGGTTCCTGCTGCCTGCAGCCATACGCTCTCGCTAGATAGCCGGCTTTGACACAGCAAGTGTGATCGGTCCGCACAAGACAACTGATGATACACTGGAGTGGCTTTAGCAACGCGAGGCCAGCAACTGCGACGACGTCCGTGGCCCCGAGAAGGGCCAGTGTCGCGACGCGGCGGCGTGGGTCGTCGACGGCGGAGACGAGCCACTGGACAGACGTAGGTAGCCCCACGAGCCGTGCGCGGTGCACCTTGGGCCAGAAGAGGAGCCGCACACCGTGGACGTCGCGGCCATATGTCATGCGCACCTTGGCGGCGGCCACGCCATGCAGCACCATACCAGGGATCGCTGACGGCGGGAAAGCGACCACCTTTGGCTGTACGGACCGAGTCAGTGCTATGTCATAGTCGCCGGCGATGCGCAGGGCGTCAAAGAAGCGCCCGTCGTCGCCTTGCAGCAGCTCAAAGCAGAGCGCGTCGTTGCGTGCCTGGAGCGCGTAGCCCATGACGGCCTCGTCGGCTGCATGCGCCTGGCGCGCGACGTCGCGCAGGAGAGCGACCGCGCGGGCGTTGTCGGTCGCCAGCAGGGCGAGGACGTCGTCGTACCGGCCCATCGCGTCGGGCAAGCGAATTGGATTCTGTCGATATTTTGTTTTGAAACAGAATATGCAAAACAGAGTGTAAAACAGCGTCTCGAGTCCAAATTTCCACGAGGCAGGAGTCGAGGCCGCGCGATCGGCCCGATGAAGAAAAAATGAAATGTCGCCACAAGTTGGCCCAGCGATAGAACAGGCTTTGGGGAGCACAACGCGCTATACTGCGTCTTCGGTGGCGACGTCTGGTACGAGCAATGCTCCGAACCAGTAATATTGGCATACGCCACTTGAACCACATATAGCCACGTTTAATCGTATTAGGTTCCCGTGGAGCCGACGCAAACCCACCGATCGTCTCGTGGGACTGCAACTCTTGCTTCTATACCGACAGAAAAGTATATGTACGCGCATGTCGACAGACCACGCCAGTGTTGCGACCACCTGAAGCAGGGTGCGTCGGTGTCATGAACCCTAGCCCGCATGGCCATGCTGCGACGGTGCAGGACCCGCAACATCTTTTCAACAAACAACGACACTGCATTACCATCCACCTTAGCGATATGATGAACGCTGCGAAAGTATGGCTTAGCACGCGGGCTTGGCGCGGCTCTTGATCTCGACCGAGTCAAAGATGGTCGTGGTTTCGCCGTTTGCGCGGTAGTAGATGGTCAACTTGTCGTTGTCGGCGACGAGGCGCGACGCACCGTAGAGCGAGCTCGACGTCGACTTGGACCACGTGGGCATCGGCGAGATCGCGCCCTGGTAGAGGCCGTGGCCACCGGTACCGACGGTAAAGTACACCGGGGCACCGTCCGTGACCTTGTTCTTGTAGATGGGCGCCGTGCGCTCGTACGCGTGCACGTGGCCGGCAATGACAGCGTCGACGCCGTGCTTGGCGTAAATGTCTTCGATCTTGCCCTGGAGTGCGCAGTGCGGTTCGTCGCGGACGTCGCCGAGCTTGCCGCCGGTGGCCGTCGAGTTCATGTAGTAGTTGCCCTTCCAGCACGACTCGACGTCCGGGATCTCAAACTTGACCGACGAGCACTGGCACTGGTGCTTGCCCCACGAGTTGTAGTACGGGTTATGCTTGAAGACAACGACGAACGGCGTCGTCTCGCGGTTGACGGCCGCGAGGTCCGTCTTGAGCCAGTCGAGCTGCGCCTGGCGGTGCGTGAACCAATACTCGGAGCCAATGTTGTCGGCGCCGAGGATACCCGTGTAGTCGTCGAGGAAGACAGCGTGGATGTTGCCGACGTTGGCCGAATACCACGTGCGGTGGTCCTTGTTGGCCTCGTCCGTGATCGGCGTCACGATGCGGTTGCTGTACGCCGTGTACATCTCGGCCGCGCACTCGGGGCGGTCGTAGAGGACACCATCGCCCTCAATGACCTCATGGTTGCCGTTGATGCCGAGGAGCGGCGTCTTGGAGAAGAGCGGCTGCGTCGCCTCGAGCCACTTGTCCCAGTCTTCGTGGCAGCCGTTGGCGTACGACCAGTCGCCCGCAATGATGACCGCATCCGGCGTCGTACCCTTGAGCTCGGCACCGAGGTTGGCAATCGTGTCCTGGATATGTTCAATGCCCACGTCACCGACGACCGAGAGGACGGTCTTCTTGCCGGCGGCTGGCACCGTCTTGAAGCTACCACTGTACTCCTGGACAGCGTAGTTGAACTTGGTGTCCGCCGGGAGGTTGCAGAGCTTGGCCGTGTGGAAGTTGGGCGACGTGTACTTGTACTTGCCGCCATCAACCTTGTACGTGTTGACAGTCGTCGTCACCGACTTGTCGGTCGCACCCGCACCGTACTTGAGCGTCAACGGGGTCGTCACGTCACTGGCAAATGCGATGGTGATGCCGTCCTTGCAGCCGACAGCTTCGGACGAGAG